AATACCAATGATGGCTATGCTGTCAGGAAGATGTCCCTGAAAACCTGAGAACATCTTGAAACAAAGTGTAAAGATGCCTGAAATTAGTCTCTTTAAAAATAAATGTAAGGAGGAAGTCTTTTTCTCATTTGGCTGAACAAAAATCAAATACTTGCCACTGAAATGTGTTAAGATAAATCCCAATAAATGAAATGAAATTCAGTTGTCAATTGTAATGTTTTTATCTTTAAGTTAAAACTAATTACATTTTAGAAACATAACAAGAAATTTTCATCATTAACCCGAACACTATTTGTGCACACAAACGAGAAAGTAAAACTAAAATTACATGTCTGAGTCTGACATCGAATTTCACCAACATTGTACACCTGAGTTCATAAAAACTTGGCTTTGTTCTGGCAGGGCTGTGTTAAATAATCCATTTCTAAATAGATGCCTATTTCCTTTATTTTCACATAGTATAATATTTTATCATATTTTTCATATTATATTCATACTCAAGTATTCATACTCAACAAATATTCAAAAGGATAATTTAATGAGATGATGATAATTACATCCATATATGTCTAACGGTCATTCCTGTTCAGGAATGAATATAATCTACAACCTGGCTGGCTGTTTGAGGCACGCAAACACAAAATGGTAACTGCTAATCACATCACTGTGCCTGTATGCTTTATTGTTAGCTTTACTGCTGTAACCTTAGCATACAACACAAAGAAACAGAAAGAGACCTGAAACAGAAAAACGTAGAAACTATTATATAGAAACTGTCAGCATGAAAAGTCTGATGTAAAGAAGAAAAAACCTGAAAGACTGAGATTATGCATTACACCAGAGTTTTAAAAAATGTGAAACTGAAAATAAGATGTTGTAAGATTGTTAGTTCATAGTCAGCTGATGAACAAAGCTCTTTTTATGTCTTTATTTCCTTCATGTTGAAATAATCTAAATATTCTACTGTGAAACAGAAGCACTGAACATTTCACATCATGTTGAGTGGAGGATCTTTGTGCAATGAAAAAGCAGTCGAAGATTATTAATGATTGTTAAGCACATGTGTAAGTGTTGGTCACACATGTTCACATAGCTGCTAATCCTAAGTAGCCAAAAGAACTGATTCATTAAAATGGGCACAAAACAGATCATTTAAAAGTCTCTTGAACCATTTTTAACACAATTTCTTTTAAGGTTTTAGGAGGCAACTTGAAAGGGAAAAAAACACATTTTAATATTAAATAAAACAGGCTTAAATGTAAATGCACACTTGAATGTAAATGTGCTCATTTAAATTGTGTTTCTGAACATTGCTGCTCCCAGTCTGATGTGAACAAACTTCTGATTGGTCACAGTTTTTCCTGGATTGCTTTGACACAGGTCTCACATCAGGAAAGTCATTTTTACTACTCTTACAGCAGTTCTGAGAACAGTTAGATCATTTCTCAAAGCAGCAATGAAAACCTTTCATTTATCAAAACATAAAAAATCAGTCAATCAATGTTTTTCCATCCAGTCTCCATAGGCAGTAATATTGTAATCTGTAATCTCTGATTCTGAGCTTTGCCTTTGGAGTTAAAAAAAAAAAAACCCAATCAGTGTTTGTCTGTGTGATCTGGATTTATTTATCACTAAAACTGTCCCACACTTAACCAAGAGCTGACACTGGCGGGTGACTGGCCTGAACTTTTAGAAAGCAATTGACCGTCCGTTAGACATCAACGTCTCACCAAATTAACAAATACCAGAACTAAGGATCTTTTCTCTATTTTTATTTTATTTTTTCACATCCACTTTTAGTTAACTGTCATTTCCTTGTCTCTTACTGCCATGTTGTACCGGAGCAAACACACATCATTCCAGCTTTAGATCAGCATCAGGAACAACAACGAGCTCCTGCAGTCAGAGGTCGTGGGACGAACAAATTTATGTAACTTCATGCTATAAACTCTCATCTTCTTCAGCTTGGCTGCCACAAGCCCAAACAGACTTAGCCTCATTAAAGTAGCGACGAAACAACTGTATTGTCTGTAAGCATGAATCACAGGTCCTCACAGACTGATGAGTCACTGTATCAAACAAGCACACTCATGTCCTACAACTCCTTGTCTCACAGTGAACCCACTTTTGGTGCCCTGCTCCTGTCACTCGATAAACAGACCTTTTTAAAATTATTTACAATCATTTATAGTAAAATAATATAAAATGTCAGACACTGTCCACTACCTAAAGGTTGAAGTCAGGTGTGTTAGTCTGTATTTCACAGAATGATGTAAAATAAGCAATCAGTGAAGTTTGACTTCTTCAACTTTGTCAAACCTCTTATTTAGTCTTTATTTGAAGCAGCTGTATAAAACCATGATGTCAATGAAGCAGTCATGTGCAAGCTGGTATGTTGTATCATGGTGACAGTTTTAGTTCCCACACTGGGTTCACATCTGCAGACTGCAGCAGATTGACGAGATACCAAAAGAGCAGGAAAGCTGAAGAAGAGGTGAGCATTGAACATACCACAGAGAGGTGACACGGTTTAAAAACTGAGTTAACACGATCAACATTTAAATGTATAATGTCAACATCAATGTTTTGTTTTTTCATGTGTGTGAAAGCTTACAGTCAGGGTTGGTGTGGTTAAGGCTCCTGTTTTCTCTTTTCTTTTCCCTTCAAACCTGAACCACTTCCAGCAGGTGGCAGCACCTCCCTGATCCTGCCTCTTCCTGTTAAAAAGGAATTCTTCCTTTTCCTGTTAACATTATAGTCTGAGCATTGGAGGTCTCTCTCTAATAGTTTTGGGGTCTTTGCCATTGAGATGGCAGTTGTTGTTAACTGGTTTGAATGAATTACTCCTCAGCTCTGTATTCCCTTCATACACATGGGTTTAGGTTGAGGCAATCACAATATTCTGCTTGATATTTGAAAGCAGACTAACTAATATAGGAGCTGCATTCAAAGAACTCCACAGCTGCTCAGAGTGCAGACAGTTATACTGAGGCCTGTGTGGGGCAGAAGTGTGTGCTGTGAAAGTGGCTTTGTTCTGAAGAAGAGGCGACTTCAAAATAAGGTTTTGGAAGACAACTTCAGGGAAGGCTGGTGGAGAGGCATTTTATCTCCAACCTTTTTAATAATTGGAGGATGTGACAATGGCTGTGGCTACTGCCAAAGTACAAAACACAGGAAATCGCTTATGAGAGATTGGCAGAGATGCCACCCACAGGGACTGAACCAGACGTGTTGCACACATGCAGAGTCAGTCGAGCTGGTTCAAGTATTTGTAAAAACTTTACGCTGGAATTAAAAACAGAATGGTTTTCTTTCCTGATGAGAAACAGAAGGTTACACCAACTAAACCAGCAATACACTTACCATTCCATATCAGCCAGACAACATAATAACACAGGAGTTACCAGGAGACGGAGCGTTGTTGGAAAGATTCACTCAGTATCTTAAATCTTACCCTCCGCCCAATAAATCAGGGCCTCACTGGGATCACAGAGCAGCCAATCAGAAACAGACTCTACTCACAGACCCGAGTGTATGAATCAAATGTGGATGTGTTAATAGTGAAAAACATTGTAAGCACCAAGGAAAACGCATGTGGATCAAGCTGAGCGGATCAGACAGGAGCAGCCGAACACAAAGAACATAAAGCCCTGCTGAGCCTGATTCTACATGCCCTGAAAGAGTCAGGAGACAAGAGAGGCTGCATTCATTTATTTATTTCAACGTTCAAGGTCAACAAAACTGTAAGTGCTTCAATAAGAGTTAGTCAAGTTCTACTGTCAAACGTTATCATACTGTACAGTGAGGTTTAGTGCCCCAGCATGGATATACATGTACAAAAGCAAATACAAGTGCAATAACAAACAGTCTTAGAATATAAAACATGAATCTAATGCAATGAAGTTTTTCCCACACATTTAATATTTTTGGCCGGGTGTTTTGGCACTCTGGTATGACTACAATCTTATTTATTTATTTTAAATAAAAAAAATGGTTCATGATACCCAGCTAACATCAACTATCTGCAGTCCAAGAAGCTGGAGTTGGAGTTTCTCGTCCTGATTTCAGGGCCAGAATCTGTCAGGAAAAACAGCCGAACAACACTGAGCATCACCACAACAGTAAACTGTGCAGCGAGCCAGTTGATTAGCAGTAGGGATGGGTATCATCTAGGTTTAATCCGATACCGGCGCCAAACCGGTACTTTTGAAACGGTGCCGGTGCTTAAACGGTGCTCAAACCGGTGCTTAAAGAATGGAGAACACAAACTTTGTCCAAAAACCTCTTATGTTTTTATTTTTAGTAGTCTCTTTTTTTCTGCAAAATGATAACCAAGTTAGCCTTTGCTGTTGATACAACATACCTCCTTTGGTTGGAACCGGTGCTTAAACAATGGAAAACACAAACTTTGTCCTAAAACCTCTAATTTTTAGCTGTTTTTTTGGTAAAAAGATAACAATGTTAGTCTTTTCTGCAGCTATAGGGCATATATGGTTTCACTCTATCAAACAAGAAGACAGCCTCATGTAACTACGACGGTGTTTGCTAGTTCACCTTACGTGCATTAATTTAATAACGTGGTTAACCTACTCAACGTAAATTA